TAACGTACATCGGTTGTATGAAAAAGGTCTTGCTTCGTGGCAATCAGTCAGTAATGACAGTGTCAATTTAGATGTTGTGAATATTGATCCGTCAATATGTTGTCACACGGACAGTATAGAGGAATATGTAAATAGCTCTGGAATACCACTCAAATTATAATAAATTTGAATATGAAATGCAAATGCCTTTTAAAAGCTGATTTCAAATGAAAAGTGATGTTTCAATCAAGATTGAAAGCGGTATATGTAGTGCACGATGCTGGAACTATCACTGGGTTCTAATAATTTAAAAAAGTCGAATATAAGGAATAATTATTTCGCGGGAATTTATTATGAGTGATAAAACATAATCACATTGAAACCCTCATGTTAAAACAGTAAACTCAAGAGTTTTCTGATACACATAAAGTACTTTGATTAAAAGCCAATAAATTGGTTCTGTCAGGGCTTCAAAGGTTGTCAAGTCAATTTCCAATTTCCAGTGAAACTTCCTATAGCCATCTGCATCTATGACCACAGTTTTCACATACACGGAACTCGTGTAGATGTCATTATGGACTCAAGGAATAGACTTGGGAGGCCAATCTGATTACCTCTGCTTGAACTTAGAATCTTATTAGGTAGATATCTGAAAATAACAAAGAAGTTGGAAAAATTCTGATTGAATGTGACGTTTGACTGTGAATACAACACTGTAAGTTTGGCCTGTAAGTACAAGCTTGTTCAACCCTATAGCAAGGAGTAATTTTAAATTCTATTCTTAAAGCAAAAGTGTTAGTGGTTGTGTGAAATAAACTCAGGTTCCACCAGTGATGTCACTAATATTTGATGTGATATTATTCATGCTTGCTCTGTTAAATTGTGTGAAATTGTATTATGTGTTGGGTTATATTCCCAATGGTTTATAGTTTAGAGAATGAGGATTCTGACGCTGTACGAGAAGCTCATGCTAGGTGTCGAGTTGATGACAGGTTACGTCTTACATAGGAACATGGGAGGTGCAAGGCTATATTTACTGTCCACGATATCACAACCATCAGGTGCAACAAATGACAACAGTTCACAGGGTTAGAAACTAACATACCGTATTCGACGTAATAAGCGCACAGGGCACTCTCAAAATTAGAAATAGGGGGCTCTTATTAGAATATAATTTTGGTGAGATTAAAAACGAGGTTGAAAGATTGTAAATTTTGTGGTTAGCCTAGAATGATATAAAAGAAGAATCTGTGTGTATTATACACGATAGATATATTTTCAAGAATTTAATTGCCCATAATTAAGGGTGCATATAACAAACGAGTGCGTATTATACACGAATAAATAAGTCTTGTGTTCATTGATCAATCGGAAGGGGTGCTAATTGGGATTGTTCACTAGCCAATATATTAGCAAATAACGCCGTGGGCGCTTATTACGTCGAATACGGTATTTAGTCCTCTTGTCCTTATAATGATAACACATAGCATAACCCTTAATAATGGCAAATTTCTTCTAGTCCTTATGATACCTGAACTAGTGGCAGTTTGGGAAGGACTATAGGAATAGTGCCAATTTCTAACACTGATTTCAGTAGAAATTTCAGATAATTATTTCACAAAAGTGTGCGTGTCAGGCTAGTTGACATGTCTAACAGTGAACCTCATCAAACATTCTTTTAGCAAACTCCGACTCTGGTCCATCATCATTTTCAGTTTGTCAAATCTTTCGTCAGCACCATCCCCCACATTCCATCTTCCTCCCAGGGTAATGGTTCAACAACTTCTAGAAAATGTCCATTACAAAAAAATATGTTATAATACATATGCTTTTAATCATATTTGTAATGTGTTTTAAGGAGATTAGTGTTTAGTTTTAAGAATGTTTTCTTGGCTGATATCGCTATCATTGTTTATGTATGGGGTTTTGTTCAGCTGTTTGAGAGCTATATCATCGCACTCAGCTTACAGTCCTCAGACCCTGACGAGCATTCTCTCTTTCTGTGTAGATGAAAATTGAAATATATAACTTGTGAAAATATGCTGATGTGACAATTCATGTCTAAGGTATTTACTGTAATATTACAGGCATCTGTTCACATCCAAATTTGAACTAAAACACTATAGCTGGTGAAATAAAATAATACTACCATTTGAAATAATTTATCTGAATCTTTAATTCATGATATTTTCTTAATGTGTATAAATATTGATATTAAATTCTCACAATCAAATGTAATACCACTTTGTACTAATGTATGAAATCCATTTTATATTTATTCCATTACTAGCAATTATCACAATAAGAGATAAATAGAAAAAATAAACAGTATGTTTCAAAATTCAAACTTAATTTCATCCTTGATTCCTGAACTGCAAACGATTGTAACAGTTCAAACCATTTCAGCAAAAAATTCCAAATTAAGCTTCACTTCAGCTAATAATGACCTGGTTCCCTAACCTTTTTGTATAATTGTGAAACCAGCACAGCGAAGCATGTGTCGGACACAGCACAGCATCTCTCTCTTCATCAGGCATGTCATGGTGCACTTGTCTCCCGGCCCTAACACTATAACCCTCAAGCTTACTGCAACATAGATAGTTCCGTGTTTGCATAATTTCATTTTGCCCCAGGGGTAGAAATCACAGCGTAGACTAAAGCCCCGAATTGGCAAATCCCATGGGTCCCCCGAGTTGTCATTGAGTGTTCGTGGCATGATTCAGACTCTTATTGGTAAATGAAGTGTGTACAAATCACGTTTGCATCCATTGTCATATGACCATGTTAGCCTGCACAGCAATAGCTGGGGAGAGGGTGCCTCTTTTGTGTCAAATTGTATGTATCGGAAAGCAATGCATCGTCACTTTAAATTCTACTGCTGTCTTTCTATTCTAAATTCTACCATTTTTGGATTAATATTTGAGCTATTCCACTGAATATGTTTGACCTGTGATTTGTCATTTGTGTTGTAGTGTAATTACTTGCTAATGTTCTAATTGATTTTATGATTAATTTGAATTAATATTTAAAATTGCTTCAATGAAAAAGTTAAGTGTTTCAATTTATTGGATTTATTAAAATATAAATATGTGGTGCTTTTTGTACTTATTTCTATATCATAATTGAACATTAAATATATCAAAGTGAGACATGGATTATGAATACATTAATTTGAAATAGATATATGAACTTTGATCATTAAATAGCTCGTATATGGCCTGTCAATCATTTTGAGTAGGAGCTTCTTCTTAATTCTTCTCAAACAAAGACAAAATTCCTTCAATCTGTGTTTGATGGCAGTTGGCCATGTGTTTAGTTATTTGATTAACAAAGCCTAAATTGTCATGGAATTTTATTTTGCAATTTATTTTCATCACTAATTATGAATGTACAAATCCATAGATTGCACATAGTGCAAAAGACTTTTTCCTATCAAACTGCAAATGCAATTTATTTTCCATTAAATATTCCCTGATAAATAATCAATTATTTACAGAGCGTAAGGAAAATATCCCCAAATAGTGACTCATTTCTTTCTGATTAGATACAGAAGGGGCCCTTGTATGACCCCTCCACCCCTTAGTCCTTTGTTCTGCCGCTCAAGCCATGAAGAGTTACCTCCCTTTTACGGCAGCAATTTATCGGGGGCAAGCTTTTGTCCCAGTAAATTAGGATGGGAATCGTGATGCAACATTCAAGTCACCTGTGCTGGCAGATATTTTCATGGTTTATTGCTGCATATTTCTTTGGCCATGTCAACTCCATCAGCTGTGATTGTTGGTATGAATACATCCCCCACTTTGTTTTCACCTCTGTCAAATAAAGGAGTTATTTTACACATTTCAACATACTGATTGCATAAGGATTGGGACGGGTATTGATTTGATGGTGCCGTGTATAGCAGATTGTTTTGTGACGAATAATCATGCTGAAATGTAGAAAAGGAACCGAATTGAGGACATATGTTTTTTTATCTGTTAATTATGAAGACATTGAATACCCAGTAAGAATATTTATCAATATGGAAACGAAAATAAGTTCTGCCTATGAAAGCAGAGGAAAAGATAATCACATAAAAAAATAACTGAAATTTTACTGAAATTATTTGGAAATTGAGTTTGTTTGAAATTAATAAAGGTACTAGATGGCTCAGAATACTCTGATAGGATATTTCAAAGTTCTTTGGGCAATCATCAGATTGTGATATGGCTCTAACATAGCGACAGATTTATTGAGTGTACATATCGCTTATAGTGTATCTCCGGCCAAATGGCCCTGGTGATGGTATATTTGAAGGGTAATTCCATCATCAATGAGACTTAACATTTTGTATTTGCATGAATCTGCTCCAAACATTGATAGTGTCCACATCGTCCCCACCGCTGCTTCCCCACACACGAAAATCACTACCAATGATTTAAAATCAAGGTGTCCAATTGCTAGTGGAACATGTTGTGGAAAGTGACGGGTTTTATGATAAAAGGCGTGAAAAACCCTGATGTTAAGTTGAGTAAGGATATTTTTCTGTAGCTATTGGCAATGTGGAAAACATATGTTTGACAAAATTTGTGGAATATGTTCACTCACTCACTCACTCACTCACTCACTCACCCTAACTCACTCATCCACCCACCCACTCACTCACTCACTCACTCTCTACAACATCACTGATCTGCTTTTGTTTCCCAGTATGTTCCAGATTATTGCCATCTGAAAATTAAAAAAAGTATTCTCATCAATGCGTTGTTCCAAACCATGAATTTCAATACAGTTGCTATGGCAGCCAATGAAATCTATTTTAAGGAGCTTGAAAACTTTGCCAATAATTTTATGGAAATGAAATCATGACAATTGTTCCCTGTGATTAGACTTTCTTTTTATAATTTTGTTTGATGTCACTGAACCTATTTAAACTATTTCTTGCTAACCTGCCCCAGACAAGCGATAGGATCTAAATTTTACGTTCTTTACTCTCTTCCTGAGATACTTGAGGAATGAGTCACTCTACCTTCTGATTTCAGAACTTTCTCGATGCTTTTGCCGAGGCTGCTGGGAGTCCTTATGGCTGTTTATTAGTCCATGGGAAAATTGCCGTGGCGACAAGGAAATGGTGGAGTTTCTCCCCCACAGAACTGGTGCTGTTGTCACTCTTGGTTCCCTCCATGCCGCACTGTTCATCTCGCGATGTGCCAGTCTTTCTACCTCAACTCAGCCCTACAGTAAGTCTATCTTCCTCCTCTACACAGCCCTACAGTAAGTCTATCTTCCTCCTCTACATAGCCCCACAGTAAGTCTATCTTCCTCCTCTATAGTCCCACAGTAAGTCTATCTTCCTCCTCTACATAGCCCCACAGTAAGTCTATCTTATTCCTCTACACAGCCCTAGGATAAGTCTATCTTCCTCCTCTACACAGCCCCACAGTAAGTCTATCTTCCTCCTCTACACACTCCCACAGTAAGTCTATCTTCCTCCTCTACACAGTCCCACAGTAAGTCTATCTTCCTCCTCTACACAGCCATACAAGTAAGTCTATCTTCCTCCTCTACACAGCCCTACAGTAAGTCTATCTTCCTCCTCTACACAGCCCTAGAGTAAGTCTATCTTCCTCCTCTACACAGTCCCACAGTAAGTCTATCTTCCTCCTCTACACAGCCCTACAAGTAAGTCTATCTTCCTCCTCTACACAGTCCCACAGTAAGTCTATCTTCTTCCTCTACACAGCCCCAGAATAAGTCTATCTTCCTCCTCTACACAGCCCTACAGGTAGTCTATCTTCCTCCTCTACACAGCCCTACAAGTAAGTCTATCTTCCTCCTCTACACAGTCCCACAGTAAGACTATCTTCCTCCTCTACACAGTCCCACAGTAAGTCTATCTTCCTCCTCTACACAGCCCTAGAGTAAGTCTATTTTCCTCCTCTGCACAGTCCCATAGTAAGTCTTTCTTCCTCCTCTACACAGCCCTAGAGTAAGCCTATCTTTCTCCTCTACATAGCCCCACAGTAAGTCTATCTTCCTCCTCTACACAGTCCCACAGTAAGTCTATCTTCCTCCTCCACTTCATAGCCCCACAGTAAGTCTATCTTCCTCCTCTACACAGTCCCACAGTAGGTCTATCTTCCTCCTCTACACAGCCCTACAATTAAGTCTGTCTTCCTCCTCTACACAGCCCTACAGTAAGTCTATCTTCCTCCTCTACACAGCCCTATAGTAAGTCTATCTTCCTCCTCTACACAGCCCTACAGTAAGTCTATCTTCCTCCTCTACACAGTCCCACAGTAAGTCTATCTTCCTCCTCTACACAGCCCTACAAGTAAGTCTATCTTCCTCCTCTACACAGTCCCACAGTAGGTCTATCTTCCTCCTCGACACAGCCCTACAGTAAGTCTATCTTCCTCCTCTACACAGTCCCACAGTAAGTCTATCTTCCTCCTCTACACAGCCCTAGAGTAAGTCTATTTTCCTCCTCTACACAGCCCTACAGGTAGTCTATCTTCCTCCTCAACATGTCCCTACAGTAAGTCTATCTTCTTCCTCTACACAGCCCTAGAATAAGTCTATCTTCCTCCTCTACACAGCCCTACAGGTAGTTTATCTTCCTCCTCTACACAGCCCTACAGTAAGTCTATCTTCTTCCTCTACACAGCCCTAGAATAAGTCTATCTTCCTCCTCTACACAGCCCTACAGTAAGTCTATCTTCCTCCTCTACACAGTCCCACAGTAAGTCTATCTTCCTCCACTTCATAGCCCCACAGTAAGTCTATCTTCCTCCTCTACACACTCCCACAGTAAGTCTATCTTCCTCCACTTCATAGCCCCACAGTAAGTCTATCTTCCTCCTCTACACACTCCCACAGTAAGTCTATCTTCCTCCACTTCATAGCCCCACAGTAAGTCTATCTTCCTCCTCTACACAGTCCCACAGTAAGTCTATCTTCCTCCACTTCATAGCCCCACAGTAAGTCTATCTTCCTCCTCTACACAGTCCCACAGTAAGTCTATCTTCCTCCACTTCATAGCCCCACAGTAAGTCTATCTTCCTCCTCTACACAGTCCCACAGTAAGTCTATCTTCCTCCTCTACACAGCCCTACAAGTAAGTCTGTCTTCCTCCTCTACACAGCCCTACAGTAAGTCTATCTTCTTCCTCTACACAGCCCTATAGTAAGTCTATCTTCCTCCTCTACACAGCCCTAGAGTAAGTCTATCTTCCTCCTCTACACAGTCCCACAGTAAGTCTATCTTCCTCCTCTACACAGCCCTACAAGTAAGTCTATCTTCCTCCACTTCATAGCCCCACAGTAAGTCTATCTTCCTCCTCTACACAGTCCCACAGTAAGTCTATCTTGCTCCTCTACACAGTCCCACAGTAAGTCTATCTTCCTCCTCTACACAGCCCTACATGTAAGTCTGTCTTCCTCCTCTACACAGCCCTACAGTAAGTCTATCTTCCTCCTCTAAACAGCCCTATAGTAAATCTATCTTCCTCCTCTACACAGCCCTAGAGTAAGTCTATCTTCCTCCTCTACACAGTCCCACAGTAAGTCTATCTTCCTCCTCTACACAGCCCTACAAGTAAGTCTATCTTCCTCCTCTACACAGCCCTACAGTAAGTATATCTTCCTCCTCTACACAGTCCCACAGTAAGTCTATCTTCCTCCTCTACACAGCCCTACAAGTAAGTCTATCTTCCTCCTCTACACAGTCCCACAGTAAGTCTATCTTCCTCCTCTACACAGCCCTAGAGTAAGTCTATTTTCCTCCTCTACACAGCCCTACAGGTAGTCTATCTTCCTCCTCAACATGTCCCTACAGTAAGTCTATCTTCTTCCTCTACACAGCCCTAGAATAAGTCTATCTTCCTCCTCTACACAGTCCCACAGTAAGTCTATCTTCTTCCTCTACACAGCCCCAGAATAAGTCTATCTTCCTCCTCTACACAGCCCTACAGGTAGTCTATCTTCCTCCTCTACACAGCCCTACAGTAAGTCTATCTTCTTCCTCTACACAGCCCTAGAATAAGTCTATCTTCCTCCTCTACACAGCCCTACAGTAAGTCTATCTTCCTCCTCAACACGTCCCTACAGTAAGTCTATCTTCTTCCTCTACACAGCCCTAGAATAAGTCTATCTTCCTCCTCTACACAGCCCTACAGTAAGTCTATCTTCCTCCTCTACACAGCCCTACAGTAAGTCTATCTTCCTCCTCAACACGTCCCTACAGTAAGTCTATCTTCCTCCTCTACACAGCCCTACAGTAAGTCTATCTTCCTTCTCAACATGTCCCTACAGTAAGTCTATCTTCTTCCTCTACACAGCCCTAGAATAAGTCTATCTTCCTCCTCTACACAGCCCTACAGTAAGTCTATCTTCCTCCTCAACACGTCCCTACAGTAAGTCTATCTTCCTCCTCTACACAGCCCTACAGTAAGTCTATCTTCCTCTTCTACACAGCCCTACAGTAAGTCTATCTTCCTCCTCTACACAGCCCTACAGTAAGTCTATCTTCCTCCTCTACACAGCCCTACAGTAAGTCTATTTTTCTCTTCTTCACAGCCCCACAGTAAGTCCATCTTTCTCCACTACTCTGTCTTCCACTCTATAATAAATCTGTCTTTCTTAACAAGTAATAATACCTCCTGTCATACATCTGACAATGTTGCCTGTAGGGTAATAATACCTCCTGTCATACATCTGACAATGTTGCCTGTAGGGTAATAATACCTCCTGTCATACATCTGACAATGTTGCCTGTAGTGAAATAATACCTCCTGTCATATATCTGACAACTTAGTCTGCTTGGTAATAAAACCTCCTGGTGTTCCAGGTCCGACATCGCCTCCTATTGTATATCTGACAATGGTGTTCCAGGTCTCACATCGCCTCCTATTGTATATCTGACAATGGTGTTCCAGGTCTCACATCGCCTCCTATTGTATATCTGACAATGGTGTTCCAGGTCCCACATCACCTCCTATTGTACATCTGACAATGGTGTTCCAGGTCTCACATCGCCTCCTATTGTATATCTGACAATGGTGTTCCAGGCCCCACATCACCTTCTATTGTATATCTGACAATGGTGTTCCAGGTCCCACATCGCCTCCTATTGTATATCTGACAATGGTGTTCCAGGTCCCACATCACCTTCTATTGTATATCTGACAATGGTGTTCCAGATCCCACATCGCCTCCTATTGTATATCTGACAATGGTGTTCCAGGTCCCACATCGCCTCCTATTGTACATCTGACAATGGTGTTCCAGGCCCCACAACACCTTCTATTGTATATCTGACAATGGTGTTCCAGGTCCCACATCGCCTCCTATTGTATATCTGACAATGGTGTTCCAGGTCCCACATCACCTTCTATTGTATATCTGACAATGGTGTTCCAGGTCCCACATCGCCTCCTATTGTTTATCTGACAATGGTGTTCCAGGTCCCACATTGCCCTATTGTATATCTGACAATGGTGTTCCAGATCCCACATCGCCTCCTATTTTATATCTGACAATGGTGTTCCAGGTCCCACATCGCCTCCTATTGTACATCTGACAATGGTGTTCCAGGTCCCACATCGCCTCCTATTGTATATCTGACAATGGTGTTCCAGGTCCCACATCACCTCCTATCGTATATCTGACAATGGTGTTCCAGGTCCCACATCACCTCCTATTGTATATCTGACAATGGTGTTCCAGGTCCCACATCACCTATTGTATATCTGACAATGGTGTTCCAGATCCCACATCGCCTCCTATTGTACATCTGACAATGGTGTTCCAGGTCCCACATCACCTCCTATTGTATATCTGACGATGGTGTTCCAGGTCCCACATCACCTCCTATTGTATATCTGACAATGGTGTTCCAGGTCCCACATCACCTCCTATTGTACATCTGACAATGGTGTTCCAGGTCCCACATCGCCTCCTATTGTACATCTGACAATGGTGTTCCAGGTCCCACATCACCTCCTATTGTATATCTGACAATGGTGTTCCAGGTGCCACATCGCCTCCTATTGTATATCTGACAATGGTGTTCCAGGTGCCACATCGCCTCCTATTGTATATCTGACAATGGTGTTCCAGGTCCCACATCACCTCCTATTGTACATCTGACAATGGTGTTCCAGGTCCCACATCGCCTCCTATTGTACATCTGACAATGGTGTTCCAGGTCCCACATCACCTCCTATTGTACATCTGACAATGGTGTTCCAGGTCCCACATCGCCTCCTATTGTACATCTGACAATGGTGTTCCAGGTCCCACATCACCTCCTATTGTATATCTGACAATGGTGTTCCAGGTGCCACATCGCCTCCTGACGTTCCAGCTGCTGAAGCATGTGGAGGTGTGCATCCTGACGGGTCCAACCCCCTCACTCACAGAACTCTCACAGGAGGTACAGCAGTTGTCTCCCCTTACATGTAGCAGTTCATATTGTGTAATTTACATGTTTGCAAATAGCTGAGATCTTACTTCAATTATGCCATTGTATATACAGTCATGCCCCGCTTATACGGACTTCAGATATCCGGAAACCTTGGTTCCCGGACGATTTTCATTCAAAACGAAATAATTACTATATAAATTTACCTATATATCCGGAAATTCAGTTTCCGGAACCGGACGGTCATTTTCATACACAAAACACTGAAATGCACACAAAATTGTCTCACTTATCCGGACAATACACTTCCGCTGGTGGTAATCCTTCCGCTGTTGGTAATCCTTTGATTCGTGAGAAGTCAGTTAACCAAGGGACACTGAGTTACGTTTGAGACGAGCTTGTTTATTGTACATGTAATCCCCTTCGATAAATATGGCGTCTGTGGAGGTCAGAGGTCAAAGTCGTGTAAGGATGGCCTGTCAACCAGCGAAACGTAAGCGACACGCAGTTGCAGCATGCGAAAAAAAGGGAAATTTGTCTGTTTGAAGAAAAACACCCGTCAGCAAGTTTAGAAACCATCAGTAAGCATTATAGCACTGCATTTGGACATACCATAGGAAAATCGACAATTGGTGACAGTTCAAACTTCCATGACAGACTTTTTGAAACGTGTATGAATAAAGATTGAGTGGATGTATCTGTTTGCTCTGTCATCTGTCATAAGTTGCATTATTGAAGGGAAGTAACTCTTCCAGTAAGAAGCTCGTTTCAGTTATACGGAAATTCGTTTATACGGACGAATTGTGAAATGACGCAAGTGTCCGTATAAACAAGGCACGACTGTATTATATATTTTATAAATGTTTGCTTATTTTGATTTGGCCCAGAAACTATTGAATTGAAAATACTGAACCTGATTTGTTATAAGAGCATGATGTTTCAATATTGAAACAACTATAAGGAATAGCTTACAACTCCATTCAATTATTTTATTTCACCCATTATTTACTGGCTGTGTATTTGGATAAAATTGTATCGCAATATATTGTGATAAATGATGTCTGTATTGTGATATGTATTGCAATATTTTAGGAGGTAAAGTGTTTGACAGTGATTGACACATGCAGATCTTATCGCAACAGTGTCATCGTCAGCATGGTCAGTCACCGCCATTTTGTAGCCATGGAAACAGGGGAGATAACAATGGGAGAGAAAAATCACTTCCACGTTTCTGCCGTCAATTTTGAAGGGAAAAATCATTAGTGAATAAATTTCTATGTCATGTTAAAGAACCTGCTTTGGTGTCCCCCACCATGATAGAGCTGGAATATTGCTTAAACCGTGTAAAATCACACTCACTCACTTTGGTGTATCCTGACCACGATATAACTTGTAGGTAGATAGTTTTGAGGTAAAAGATCGATTTTAATTCAATTGATCGGTGCTCTGGTCTGATTCACTCATTCAAACCAGAAGCTTCTAAAATGTTGTTCCCAGGTGAACCGGTTCTGGAGGGCCAGCCATGACACCCTGAAGGCAGTGAGGAACCACCATCCCCGGAACTATCCCCCCGCCCTGGGGCTCGACAACAACATTCTTGGGTAGGACACATACTGTGATATGATTCAGCTCATCTCATATCTTGCCATTTGTCATAATCAAGTCAATGCTTGTCATAGATAGAGAGACCACCTCCGTGGTCTTGTGGTAGCGCGTCCGCCCCGAGAGCGGAAGGTCCGGGGTTCGATTCCCGGCCGCGTCATACCAAAAGACGTTAAAATATGGTACTTGTTGTTAACAAATGTTATATTTTGGATAACACTTTCTTGGTAAAGTAGAGATTTTCATACTTTTTTGGGTTGAGTCCCATCTGGGATTCGAAACCACACCGCCAGAGTAAGGGACCAAATCGCCAGCACACAAAGTCAGCGACCTGACCCATTCAGCCACCGAAGCTTCAACAAAATGAAAGTCCGACAACTGGTAGTCTAGATCACGTACTTTGTGTACCCCTCTGACAAGTGTACATTAGCACGGCCCCCATGGCTATGAACACACAATGCCATTTAGAAAGTGGTCTCACTCTGGCAGTGTGGGCTCGAATCCTGGACGGGACTCAACCAAAACAAATATGAGAATCTGTACTTTACCAAGAAAGTGTTATTCCAAATATAACATTTGTAACATTTGACCATTCAGAACTCAATATCATGTTGCAAATCTCCACAAGAATCCTAACAGGTGTCGAGTTGTATAAAAGCAACTGCTGAAGTTTCTTCATTGCTGTTGTTCTGCGCTGCTGTTTCAGGTTTGTTGTGGTCAACACCGAGTCCCCCCGATGTCTGTGCAGTGTGGACTTCCTGGTTGGAGATCGGTCCAAACACCCAGGTCAGAAAACCTTGAATATTAATATGGGCCTTCTGTGTCAGTACAGGTCCCCAGTACCTCATGCTTGTTTCCGTGTGGGATTCCAGGACAGAACAGGTCCCCAGTACCTTATGCTTGTCTCCCTGTGGGGATTCAAGGGCAAATAGGCCCCCAGTACCCCATGCTCGTCTCTCTGTTGGGAGTCCAGGGCAGAATAGGCCCCCAGTACCCCATGCTTGTCGCCCTGTGGGGATACCAGGTCAGAACAGGTCCCCAGTACCTCATGCTTGTCTCTCTGTTTGGATTCCAGGGCAGAATAGGTCCCCAGTACCCCATGCTTGTTTCCTTGTGGGATTCCAGGACAGAACAGGTCCCTAGTACCCCATGCTTGTCTTTCTGTGGGGATTCCAGGTCAGAACAGGTCCCCAGTAACTTATGCTTGGCTTTCTGTGGGGATTCCAGGACAGAACAGGTCCCTAGTACCCCATGCTTGGCTTTCTGTGGGGATTCCAGGACAGAACAGGTCCCTAGTACCCCATGCTTGGCTTTCTGTGGGGATTCCAGGACAGAACAGGTCCCTAGTACCCCATGCTTGGCTTTCTGTGGGGATTCTAGGACAGAACAGGTCCCTAGTACCCCATGCTTGTCTTTCTGTGGGGATTCTAGGACAGAATAGGTCCCCAGTACCTTATGCTTGTTTCCGTGTGGGATTCCAGGACAGAATAGGTCCCCAGTACCTCATGCTTGTTTCCGTGTGGGATTCTAGGACAGAATAGGTTCCCAGTACCTAAAGCTTGTCGCCCTGTGGGTATTCCGGGTCAGAATAGGCCCCGAGTACCTCAGGTTGTCGCCCTGTGGGTATTCTGGGTCAGAATAGGCCCCGAGTACATCAAGCTTGTCGCCCTGTGGGTATTCCAGGTCAGAATAGGCTCGAGTACCTCATGCTTGTTGCCCTGTGGGTATTCGGGGTCAGAATAGGCCCCGAGTACCTCATGCTTGTTGCCCTGTGGGTATTCCGGGTCAGAATAGGCCCCGAGTACCTCATGCTTGTCGCCCTGTGGGTATTCCGGGTCAGAATAGGCCCCGAGTACCTCATGCTTGTCTCCCTGTGGGTATTCCGGGTCAGAATAGGCCCCGAGTACCTCATGCTTGTCTCCCTGTGGGTATTCCGGGTCAGAATAGGCCCCGAGTACCTCATGCTTGTCGCCCTGTGGGTATTCCGGGACAGAATCGGCCCCGAGTACCTCATGCTCGTCTCCCTGTCGATGTTCAGGGTCAGTAGCAGGACGACAAGAACTTTGTTGACTTGGCTGATAGTGCCATGTTTACCTGATGATGTGGATGTTGATCATGCTTGTAACCACTGGTGATGTGAATATGTCATAATGTGTGCACTGTTAGAGGAGCTGGTTGTTTCAACAATTGTCTTGCAGTTTTACCTATTGTCTTGCAGTTCAACCGATTGTCTTGCAGTTCAACCGATTGTCTTGCAGTTCAACCGACTGTCTTGCAGTTCAACCGATTGTCTTGCAGTTCAACCGATTGTCTTGCAGTTCAACCGATTGTCTTGCAGTTCAACCGATGTTCTTGCAGTTTAACTGACTGTCTTGCAGTTCAACCGATTGTCTTGCAGTTCAACCGATTGTCTTGCAGTTCAACCGATTGTCTTGCAGTTTAACTGACTGTCTTGAAGTTCAACCGATTGTCTTGCAGTTCAACCGATTGTCTTGCAGTTTAACTGACTGTCTTGAAGTTCAACCGATTGTCTTGAAGTTCAACCGATTGTCTTGCAGTTTAACTGACTGTCTTGCAGTTCAACCGATTGTCTTGCAGTTTAACTGACTGTCTTGAAGTTCAACCGATTGTCTTGCAGTTCAACCGATTGTCTTTCAGTTCAACCGATTGTCTTGCAGTTTAACTGACTGTCTTTCAGTTCAACCGATTGTCTTTCAGTTCAACCGATTGTCTTGCAGTTTAACTGACTGTCTTGAAGTTCAACCGATTGTCTTGCAGTTCAACCGATTGTCTTGCATTTAAAATGATTCTCTTGCAGATTAACCGATTGTCTGGCACACTAACCGATTGTCTGGCAGATTAACCGATTGTCTGGCACATTAACCGATTGTCTGGCACATTAAACGATTGTCTTGCAGATAACACAGCTTGTACCCGGGATACAAAAGGATGCATGAGGAATACAGCCTTAGTTTATGTTTCAGACAAAATCCTGACCCCCGACAGGAAGAGGGAGATCCTGCGTGCCTTCTACAAGAAAGTCATCGGAACTTACCTCTCAGCAAACATTGAAAACAGCACAAAAGGTTACAAATTTTATTCCCCTGTGAACTTTTGGGTTAAAGTTGGTCCTCAGGAAACCACACTTATCATAATAGGCGACTTATGGGATCGGATGGTCAGGCCTCGCTGACTTGGTTGATACTATGAAAGAATCAGGTGTTCTTTAACCTCTTTTTAATAGTATACATGCTGTGAAAATGAAACCCTGATTAAAAGATGTCCTGCTGTGGCATCAGTATTGAACCCTGCTTCCCTGGAGCTGATATATAGTGATACAACAAAGTTCTTTTCAATCTGTGCACCAAATTACTCCATGTTTCCATCAGTTGGTATTACAGGGCAAAATAAGGGACAGGACATCGTGAGTGAGTGATTTAGTTTTAACGCCGCTTTTAACAGTATTTGAGTTATATCACTGTGTGTCAGCTTAATGTGGGAGGAAAGCCCTAAGTTATGCAGGTCTCAGACGTTTTTCACTTCGGTGAAACCCATGAGCACGGGTATGGTGCTGACAAACCTAGAAACATAATTGGGGCGAACCAGGATTCGAACCCACAATCATAGGTTTCTGGCGTGCCCAAGGGACGCAACTCTGCACAGCGAATCGCGGCGCCTTAGACGACTGGGCCACCCATGCCCCCGGACAGGACATCAACCGCTCTGAAGTTTTGTTAGTAAACAATAACCGATAACCCCCCAGCTTACTCAGGTCTACTCCAGACTTCCCTCTTGGTTGTACTCTGACATCATTGATTGTTGCTTGTAATATCAATACATCTGCCGGTATTTACAGGCCACTGCCATATGAACAGAACATGCTGAGTGCAGCGTTAAACTTCATAGTCACAATGAAACAGTGTTTCTGTGAAGGATAAAGCATGTATAACTGTCTATATGCAAGAAATAACAGAAAAAATAAGAAAACATCAAGATATCTTATTTTGATACAATACAGTGTGTCGTAGTATAAAAGGAATTAGATCAAAATTGTGCAAGAGAAGAAATATGTGCAGCATAGACAAAACCAGTCATAGACAGTCATGACATCTGAAATTGAACATTCTTTTGTAGGTATCTTTCTATCTTGTAATAACCTCTTGAGAGGTTTGTATGCTACAATACAATAGGCAATAGTGGCAGTAGGTTTATAAGTGGGGATTATCCCCACCAAAACACCCGCTCGCTCGCTCACTCACTCACTCACTCACTCACTCACTCACTCACTCACTCACTCACTGTTCAGGTCCGTCTGAGTTCCCCCATCAGGCCACAGAGACGTACGTGGTGTGTGAGTCTCACAAGTGTTATGCTCTGCAGGAGGGGCAACACCAGATCTTCGTCATCTACGATGTCAGCATCCCCACCTTCGCTATGCGGTAAGATGGAAACACAGTGGGAATAGTCATAGAACGAAGGATTGATGAAATAAACAATCCGCAGCTCCATCTTAAAAGCATACGAGGGAAATAATCTCACTCTGCATAGTTAATTCTCCCTGCAGTGTTTTATTGTAGAATAAATAACCACGAGTCGTATATTTCTTCTATGGGATATCAACGTTATGTACAGCCTCTTAGGATGTTGATAAAATGTACATACTTTAAAAATATGTAAGCAAATTTTGATAATGATAACTCCCAGAATAGAATCACAGAAATGTCGGACAAGTCCATTTTACGAATATGTGGGTTAAGTTTGGGATTTCCGGCATATTCTCACAATCCTCACATCGACCATCAGACACAGACTGTCATACCTCTCCCACATTTGGATGTGGTCATTCGGCCGCTATGTTTATCTGTGTAGCCCAGCTACATCTATTGGGAACAACTTACTAGACACTTCCTTCTCAAAAATAACGTCGTCCAATATATGATGTCATCGAGTTGCGAGCGGATATTCGAATCGCCAGAAATGACGTCATGTTAGAACAATGTTTCGTTGTTCTTTGCGATTTATCGCAAAGCTATCTTATATAGTCTGATACATAATAGTGGCAATATATATAGTGTCATTAGTTGAGCTGACTTGACCAAACAAAACTTGAAAAACCTTGACTCGGGTTGCTAGTGCCTAAATATTGCAGTGATGATTCATCGCCTGATTTCTTCATCCACAGGTGTGTAGATATTTGAGTTGTTTGGTAGTGATATCCACTCATTCCCGGCAGTGTTGATGTGTTGTTTGTGTTTCAGGTCTGTCACACAGAAGACTCTCACCACTCTAGTCAAGGACAAAGTTATGCAGTTGTGATGCTGGCTGACGAGGGACACAGCTCTCACTTGAACAGCCTGTTTCTGGGACCAACTAAAAGTATCAGTGTGTCACTTGGGGTGGGGAGAAGGGGGAGAGTCTGTTGGGGTGGGGAGAAGGGGGAGCATCTGTTGGGGTGGGGAGAAGGGGGAGTGTCTGTTGGGGTTGGGAGAAGGGGGAGCATCTGTTGGGGTGGGGAGAAGGGGGAGTGTCTGTTGGGAGAAGGGGGAGCGTCTGTTGGGGTGGGGAGAAGGGGGAGTGTCTGTTAGGGTGGGGAGAAGGGGGAGCATGGGTTGGGGTGGAGGGAAGGGGGAGAGTCTGTTGGGGTGGGGAGAAGGGGGAGTGTCTGTTGGGGTGGGGAGAAGGGGGAGTGTCTGTTGGGGTAGGGAGAAGGGGGAGTGTCTGTTGGGATGGGGAGAAGGGGGAGTGTCTGTTAGGGTGAGGAGAAGGGGGAGAGCCTGTTAGGGTGGCGAGAAGGGGGAGTGTCTGTTGGGGTGGGGAGAAGGGGGAGTGTCTGTTGGGGTGGGGAGAAGGGGGAGTGTCTGTTAGGGTGGGGAGAAGGGGGAGCGTCTGTTAGGGTGAGGAGAAGGGGGAGAGCCTGTTAAGGTGGCGAGAAGGGGGAGTGTCTGTTGGGGTGGGGAGAAGGGGGAGTGTCTGTTTGGGTGGCGAGAAGGGGGAGTGTCTGTTGGGAATGATTGAAGGAACGCATTACTCAGCCTATTGTGGCCTTTCACATCGTTACATTGAAATCATGATGCTATTTATTGTAAAGGGAAATAAATTTATTTAATATAAAGGAACTGTTGTCTTCTTGGGGGTCAGTATGCATTCTTGTTGCCTTGTCATTGTGTCTTCACCCTCCTGTCATTCACCTGTTAAACCCAGGTGTACATTTTTAGCTGATGGTTTTTGTTTTACACCGAACACGGCCCGACAAACCAGTGGTTGACAGTATGAGCCACACTCTTCAAGCTACATGGACACAGCAAGCCTAACCACCAAATCCAATATGGTCACTTACAACGAGCAACTAGGTGCTGGGTAGTGTTCTATCCTGCATTCTGTTGGAGACCTTATGTCACCTGGGTTCCACTGGGGACCTATTCTATCCCAGATTCTACTGGGGAACAATTCTATACCAGGTTCTACTGTGAAACAATTCTGTCCCAGATTCTACTGGGGAACAATTCTACCCCAGGTTCTACTGGGGACCTATTCTATCCCTGGTCATACTGGAGAACAATTCTATACCAGGTTCTACTGGGGAACAATTCTACCCCAGATTCTACTGGGGAACAATTCTACCCCAGGTTCTACTGGGGACCTATTCTATCCCTGGTCATACTGGAGAACAATTCTATACCAGGTTCTACTGGGGAACAATTCTACCCCAGATTCTACTGGGGAACAATTCTACCCCAGGTTCTACTGGGGACCTATTCTATCCCTGGTCATACTGGAGAACAATTCTATACCAGGTTCTACTGGGGAACAATTCTACCCCAGATTCTACTGGGGAACAATTCTACCCCAGGTTCTACTGGGGACCTATTCTATCCCTGGTCATACTGGAGAACAATTCTATACCAGGTTCTTCTGGGGACCTATTCTATCCCTGGTCATACTGGAGAACAATTCTATACCAGGTTCTACTGGGGACCTATTCTATCCCTGGTCATACTGGAGAACAATTCTATACCAGGTTCTACTGTGAAACAATTCTATCCCAGGTTCTACTGGGGACCTATTCTATCCCTGGTCATACTGGAGAACAATTCTATACCAGGTTCTACTGTGAAACAATTCTATCCCAGGTTCTACGGAGAACAATTCTATCCCAGATTCTACGGAGAACAATTCTATCCACGATTCTACTGGGGACCTATTCCAGCATGGGTTCTACTGGAGGATGTTATTAGCTGCTTCATTGCTTCCCTGTGGGTAGACTAACAATCACCTTCGACAGCTCACTAAATACTCAACAAACCACAGGAATCCAAAGTTCTGATTAATACCATGATGATAAAATGTGTCTTTACAATAATACACCCCTCTTTCAATATAGAGAGAGGTGTTGGATAGTACATGCGATGTTAAACCAGACCTTCAGATTCCTGTGGACCAACATGAACTACATGTACATTGATGGATACCTATCAGCTCTGAGTTGAACACTCATCAACTGACTACCATATAGTTCTATTCGTGGCCATGAAACCCTTAGTCAGCATTACTGTAGGTGGTGTCCCGCCACCGCAAACATGTGGTCAGTAGTGAGAGCAAGCAGTGGGATGCAGTCACACACTTAATCCAGTTGTTTGTTTGTTTGTTGTTTAACGCCGCACTCGGTAATATTCCAGGTACACCACGGAGGTCTGTAAATAAACGTGTCTGGGCCAGACAATCCAGTGATTGACATCATGCGCATCGATCCACGCAATTGGGTTATGATGACATGCATCAACCAAGTCAGCGAGCCTGACCACCCGATCACGTTGCCTCTTACGTCAAGCATAGTCACCTTTTACAACAAGCATGGGTTGCTGAAGACCAATTCTACCCCGCATCTTCACAGTCTGGACATGCATAGTTGCCTTTTAACCCCCTTCCAGTCTCACCTGAGAGCTGTGAGGGTTAATGCTGCCTTAAACAGCTTTCCAGTTGTACATGTATCACAGAGGTGAAATGGGGTTTAACGTTGTGTCCAAGATTGTAGCACATATATAGCAATGTGCATGCACTAGTGTGTGTGTGGCTCCTTGCACTAGTCCGGACTAATGCCAATTTTATAGTGCTAGCCCAGAGATACCATGTCACTGTTTAACATGAATACCCCACTCAAGGCACTCCGAGCCGACCATACCCCCTTAATGCTGAGCACCAGCGAGGGTAACAACAAGTGCCATCTTTTAACGTCTTTTTGTATCACACAGACGGGGATCAAACCCCGGACCTTCTGCCCTCTCTGGGCAGGCGGTCTGTATCACAGAGGGTCGGAGTCTTGAGGAAAGTCTAAGTGACAGCCATGAACCATGAGTTGGTTGGGATGGCTTTAGTTAGGGTGCAGTGACAGACGGCCACGAAACGCTGCGTATCTCCATATATACTGGTCATGATATGAAATGTATCTTGACACAAGGTCATGCTACATATGTATCTCGATACACTCACTGATCATGACATGATACATATCTAGATACAATGGTCGCTGTATGATACGTATATATCTCAATACACTGGTCACACTAAGATAACAGGAAATATTCTAACCCAGAATCCCCCACAAGGAGATGAATAAAGTAGGAAATAGTGTGCCTCTAAATCCATGTAATTATAACAAACAACATAACATGTAGTGTAACCTGCTTTTATTCAGTTGTGAGAATGGCCCCGTTACAAAGCAGCTTAGGCCAGGCAGATACAGAGTAGGGCAAGATCATCGTGGAATGCTGGACCAACATCCTACTACATCTTCATACAAATCCCTGGTAAGGGCCACAGTACAATAATTAAGGCCCCAACCATGAACAAAGCAGATAACTAACAGATAACACAGGCTAGTTGGGATCGATATGTTTATAAATTCCTAATAAGGGCCTCATATGTTACAAGGCTGCCTGAACACTGGATTTCTTGTGAACATGCTGATTTAGGGCCCCTTGTATTTCTATATTTGCCCCACTCATGGATTAGTACTGTCTTGTCACCCCGTTCTTAATACTTAAACAGATCTAAGTGACAGATTATCTAGAATTTTGAGCAGTTGGGTATATTTACAACATATAGGAAACAAAGGGTTAATTTAAGCAAAGTAAAAAAGTATATATACAAAAGCGCAACAGTTGTCAATAAATAGTACAAGTGAATTATCATGATTAAAGCATGCTGTGACTCAGCAAAAAGAACAACATGATGATATATCTCAATACAACCATTGCCCTTGAGGTGTGGAGGATAGTGTGTAATAACCTTTTGTGCATTTTAGTGATTCTCAATGCCGATTGGTCAATTGAAGTCCTATGACATCACAGTGCTTCACTGTTGAGAAAAATGACATTCATTGTTCATGACATCACCGGAACAATAGGCTGCCTTCCATGAAGCTTCTCTGTAGGGTTGATATTTCATACCATTTCCTTCATTGTCTCCCTTGATATGTCAAGGAGACATTTATAGAATAACCTCCCCGAAGTGAGTGAGTTGGGTTTAACGCCACTTTTAACATTATTCCAGTTATATCACGGCGTGTCAGCAATGTGGGAGGAAAGCCCGAAGTGATGCAGGTCTTACACGTTTACCACTTCGGTGAAACCCAAGAGCACGGGTATGGTGCTGACAAACCTAGAAACATAATCTTCAATGAAGACCGTGTATCTTTTTTAATACTTAAAAGAAAATAACCTCCAGTCAGGAATTTCGAACACTGATGTACCTTTGTGTGTCCCTCTGTTTCTCAACAGCTTTCATCAAGACATGGACTCTAAGTCAAGGATTTACGGTATATCAATACAATAGCTTCTTACATCAACTATGTTATTCGTAGATGACAAGGCCCTGATGAAATCAAAATCAATTCTAGTTACAGAAACCTTTCTAACCTCTCAGGTCGACGCTTGTGATTGAAAACAGGTTCTGATAAATAAAACAATGATTTCTAAATCGTACACACGTCAAACCAATCAACAACACACATGATGACCACATATCGACATTGATGCTGACTTCATTACATTAACGCGTTCTCAATACATGACATACAGCGACTTCGAATTGGATGAGTATGTAAACGTTGACACCGGGTCCTTTAAGATGAATTACAGAACAAATGCGCTAAAACAGTACTTATCTTCACAGTTCTGTTGTCAAGTTGGTGTTAAGTGAAAGATTTGCAAAAACTCAGAATGAAAAATATTGATGGATACATATCGTTGCAAGATATACATATGGTTAATATGATTTAAAGGGTAATAATTTCGATTGATATATATTTGTATATATCTTATATGCTAGAATTATACATTAAAACATATAAAACCTACAACTATTTGTAAATGTTAATGACATAAGCAGATATTAGAAACAATCCCCTACAAGGTGAAATCTACATTATACAAATCACAGGCCAGGAATATCCATAGTTTTCATCAAGATGCAACACCCAAAAACATACAGAAATTGATTTAATATGTAAATGTAGTAGGGACCTTTACAGAATGGCTCTAGTGGATCTAGTGACTGCCTGGGGAGCGGAAGGTCGGTGGTTGTTCCTGGACGTGTCATCTCCAAAGATGTAAAATATGGTACTTGTTGTTTCCCTGCCTGGTGCTTGGCTTTAGGGGATAACACAGGGACTGGTCGGCTGAGTGGGGTATTCGTGTTGAACTGCAGCTTAGTGTCTCAGTGGGTTCACCGTAAAAGCAAACTTAGTTTGACTTGTACAATCTGCCACACATATATATACAGGTTGCTATAGAAATGCAATAATCTTGAGCGTGACATGAAGCCCCATTTCACCTGACTTCAGACCAGTACAAGCCACTAGGTTTTGATCATCTGTATTTATTTGCATCATGGGACAAACACTGATCGACACGATCCAGGGCCAAATGTCTCCATTGTTTAAAACACCTAGAATCATGACAATAATATTGTGGTGACTAACAAAAGCTAGGTAGAATTGCACAGTCAATACACAAGCATTTAGTAGTCGCATAATTTACAGATACTAAAACCTTGTTAAAACAAATATCAACATATGGACATTTGTACATGAAGAGTATGGACATTAGATGTTTAGAAATTCCAGATGAAGTCCTACAGCTGCTGAAGTGGATCTGATTAGGAAGTACTGCTTACAGCTTCAGTAGCAGAACCATTAGTGATGTCATTTGATTGTGATGTCATGGTAACCAATGATGTCACAATAGTCTGCAAAGCATTGTGATGCAATTTCATTGCAGAGATATCTACAGTGTAGATATCGCTTGATCTCACCCAAGCAAATCTCCTGTGGGAGCCAGTTTTGGATGATAAAGCTAAAGTGATACAGACTTTAGAGTGAGTGAGTTGGGTTTAACGCCACTTTTAACAGTATTCCAGTAATATAACAGTGTGTCCGCATAAAGTGGGAGGAAAGCCCGAAGTGATGCAGGTTTTAGACGTTTACCACTTCGGTGAAACCCACAAGCACGGGTATGGTGCTGACAAACCTAGAAACATAATCTGGGTGAACCAGGATTTGAACCCACAATCATAGGCTCCTGGCATGTCACAGGGACACAACTCTGCACAGCGAATTTTGGCCCCTTAGACGACTGGGCCCCCGTGCCCCCTACAGACTTTAGATGTGTAAGACTGTCGTGGAAGCAACTACCACATGTATGGTGCTGACAAATCAATAAATGGGGGAATCAAACCTAAAACAGCGGATAATGGCAAACTAATTTGTAAAGAGAAATCATCCTAAGCCAAACATTGTAAAAATTCTGAAAATAGTTTGACAATATGGAGTTACTTCATGAGTCGTGTACAAACAGAAATCTGTCAAGTTTGTTTCTGTCTAGTAAAGCAGTGTATCTCAGTATTGACAAGGGTTTGGAGTCGTAATATCATCACTGTAACAGGGCAGTTTCTGAAAGTTATTCCTGTAAATAATTATTAGCTCTTATCAGTGTGTAATACTGATGCATTGATTCAGTTGTTCATACAATCAAACAGTTCTGGGAGGACAATGACTGGCAGAAACAACGCCGCTGCTTGGTGTGTTCGTACATTTGTAGGCGTGGAGGACTGGTGTCCCTGCAGGGCCACAAACAAGTAATTATGCCTTCACGATTATTTATAAGTACCTCAACAATACATGTCCAGGGCCAATTTCACAAAGTGATCTTAGTGCTATGACTTTCATAGGCCAAGATTACAGTATGGGAGTTACGATCATCGTGGCTTGAAGGCTATCATAGACCTGGGTTTAAGTATGGGAGTTATGATCATTGTAGCACTTTGACTCTCAGAGGCCAAGGTTAAAGTATGGGAGTTACGGTCATCGTAGCGCTATGATCACTTTGTGGAATGGGGTGCTGAATGACAATTATATCAATTATGGCAAACTGACTCGACACTGATCTCAGTTCAACACAAGTGCAGGCCTACAACATGTTAAACAGATCAAAAAGCAAAGTCACATGAAGATCACATCAAATCTCCTAATATAATATGCCAGTACATCACACAGTTATTTCGACCTGGGCCTCTTTTCACAAAACCACCTTAGCAGCACGACTGTCATAAGTCCATGTTCAAGTATGAGTTACAATCATCTTAGCGCTAAGATCACTTTGTGAAATGGGCCTCAGATCTTTAATCCCTGCCAAGAAACAATGGACAGCCCATTTCAGTGCAGTGCTTGAAACTAAGTCCTGGAGTCCTTGCCACTGCCAACAGTAAAGATTCAGGGCGTACTGAGATTCAATTACTATAGCAGCAAACCTATAGGACCCCAGTAAACCCCTTACTTTTGAACACTACAGATTGTCAGACGGCCCGGGTCATTCAGCCCAACCAACAAATGAACGTCCATTTCTGTACAGGACAGCCACAACGCCCTGTGTTTCTGTCAGACAGCCCAGGTCATTCAGCCCAACCAACAAATGAACGTCCATTTCTGTACAGGACGGCCACAAGGCCCTGTGTTTCTGTCAGACGGCCTGGGTCATTGAGCCCAACCAACAAATGAACGTCCATTTCTGTACAGGACGGCCACAAGGCCCTCTGTTTCTGTCAGACGGCCCGGGTCATTGAGCCCAACCAACAAATGAACGTCCATTTCCAGGCCCTGTGTTTCTGATAGCAGTCCATCATTACTACCATCACATGGACCACTCCAGTCGTCACTATCCTCGGCCATCTGAAACTTGGAGATGTCCGAGATATCTCATTTGTTCAAAGACCTGATGTACATCGGGGATCCATCACAATCTGTACATATCTACATTGACAAAGTTTATTTTTACAAGATTTCCAAACAACAGGTGATATTCACAATACGGACAATGTACAGGTATTGAATTGATTCACAAACACATACACATCATGATCGCCAAAGTGGGAGATGTCTTCAAAATGTTATCTCAAAATCAGCCAGTAACCAATGAGTGCTCTTGTTCCAGCACTGGTCGTTAACAACAACAGGCTTCTGTTAATCCAACAGAAAGAAAATATGTAGAGTGGTCAAAGTAAACTGTATGTCTGCCAGGTCAAGGTCCATGATTGTGGCTCATCCTACAGAAATAAAATAATATGAAAGAAAAGTGTCAATATTCCTGATTATGATCAAGGAGGGAGAACATCGCCACTTCTCGGAACTGAAACAGCAGCTAGCATGTGGATGTTGACCAAAACAAGGTTGTTAAAACATTCTGCCAAGATGGAACATACATTTATAACACGATAAACCATCTGACAGGTTTAAATAACTAGCCTCATTGAGACGACATCACTGTTTATCCTTGATCTTGGTCATCATCAACACCTACAACACATGCACCATTGTAGGTAAAACATAGATCAGTGGCAAACATCAAATCAACAGCTACCCATCACTGTAGCAAACATGTTACTTTAAATTTAAATCATATAAGTTATTCAGTCCATGGACAGGCCTGCTGAGTCTAACGAGCTGATGTTTAACTGACGTCAATAATATTAAAATGATTTCATTTTCTCCGTGACCGTCCGTGTCGGGGGAGGGCTGGTCTTGCATACATAAAGTCTCGTTGTTTCCGCCCCTCATGTCTTCTGCATGGTGCTCGTGATCCGGAAGAATCGGACAAACTTGAACACAAGACTAACGATGAGGTACCACACGTTGCGGGCAATGTCGGACCGCGCAATCAGGAGTCTCCAGAAGACTATTGCCGTCACTGTGTTGAACATGTAGCGAATGTTCCTCAATCTGGAAAATAAACAAATACATAATGTTAATTTTGTTTGTTGTTTAACGCCACACTCAACAATTTGTTGTACCAGCAGACTAGTGGGTGTGTCCCTCTACCAGCACCCTAGTGGGTGTGTCCCTGTACCAGCAGACTAGTGGGTGTGTCCCTGTACCAGCAGACTAGTGGGTGTGTCCCTGTACCAGCAGACTAGTGGGTGTGTCCCTGTACCAGCAGACTAGTGGGTGTGTCCCTGTACCAGCAGACTAGTACGTGTGTCCCTGTACCAGCAGACTAGTGGGTGTGTCCCTGTACCAGCAGACTAGTGGGTGTGTCCCTGTACCAGCAGACTAGTGGGTGTGTCCCTGTACCAGCAGACTAGTGGGTGTGTCCCTGTACCAGCAGACTAGTGGGTGTGTCTCCTGTACCAGCAGACTAGTGGGTGTGTCCCTGTACCAGCAGACTAGTGGGTGTGTCCCCTCTACCACCAGAGGAACGTACTTGCGAAGGTGGGCCCGGGCAGCAGGCAGCCCTGCCAGGTCTTCGTTCAGGAGGTATTGCTTGGCCCCCAGACAGTAGTTCTCTATGTAGGTCGGCCAGTGCAGGGGACGTGGGTCGAAGTAGAATGTCTGAAACAAAATGTGTGGTCAGTATACAGGTCAACATTGACCCACAAAATTTGTTACCAGCTTATGAACATCAACCCCCCATAAGGACAAACAGTCTATCTACAACCATCACATTGACAAGTATGCTATGAAATATTTTACAATCTTGTTTTCCTGTAAATCATTTGCACAAATACCTCGACCTGACCTGATGACCATCACAGCTAATATGGATATAACAATCTGCGGCCACTGTAACTTGATAGCAGCCCACAATTCCCTACTGACAGACTGCTATCTATTCTATTACGAAGTGACATCATGGGGGTCATGTTTCTTGTATTTTGGCGTCATCCTATATCATATCCTGACATTGCTATTTGTAAATCAGTGAGGTTTTCAATACAGACACTCCCTCAACTTGCGCTGCTGTATGTTGTTTTGTTCATTTTGGGATAACTACAAACTCTATACATTTCAGCAATGATAACACACGTTATGACACAGATTGTACTTATAGTCAGGCCATAAATGCAATAAACGTATTAAATAAAATTAAATTTAAAAAAAAAAAAAAATTAAAAATCTTGATAAAGGAACTATTCCATCTCTGTAGTGGCCAGAACATGTTTCACACAAGGATCAGGCAAGCGGCGACCACCTAAACTACAAGCCACACCCCCTGCAATGTTTTGTTTGTTGTTTAAAGCCACACTCAGCAATATTGCAGCTATATGACGGTGGTCTGTAAACAATTGAATCTGGACCAGACAATCTAGTGATTGACATCATGAGCATCGATCCACACAATTGGGATACGATGACATGCATCAATCAAGTCAGCGAGCCTGACAACCCAATAAGTATAGTCGCCTTTTAGGGCAAGAATGGGTTGGTAAAGACCTATTCTACCCCGGATGTTCACGGGTCCCCCTGCAGTGGGCGTACCTTGAAGTCCTGTGCGGTCAGTTTACTCTTCAGCATGTCCAGGTTGGTGTAAGTCCACTCCCACGAGTTGCTGGTGAAGTAGGTCAAGATGTCCATCGACCGGTGCAGCTTGTTGTACGTCTTCACCATTCTGGACACACAGACAGACAGTGAGTGAGTGAGTGAGTGAGTTGGTGAGTGAGTGAGTGAGTTTGTGAGTGAGTTTGTGAGTGAGTGAGTTGGTGAGTGAGTGAGTGAGTGAGTTGGTGAGTGAGTGAGTTGGTGAGTTGGTGAGTGAGTGAGTTGGTGAGTTTGTGAGTGAGTGAGTTTGTGAGTAAGTTGGTGAGTGAGTTGGTGAGTGAGTGAGTGAGTTGGTGAGTGAGTGAGTTGGTGAGTGAGTGAGTTGGTGAGTGAGTAAATGAGTTGGTGAGTGAGTGAGGGAGGGAGGGAGGGAGGGAGGGAGTTGGTGAGTCAGTGAGTGAGTGAGTGAGTGAGGGAGGGAGGGAGGGAGTTGGTGAGTGAGTGAGTGAGTGAGTGAATGATGGAGGGAGTGAGTGAGAGACTGTGTGTAGAGGTTTCTGGCCACAGACGGCATTTCTACAGCTACATCCCAGCACCCAGAGTGCTAGTTGTATACAGTCATGTCATGGAGCACAAGTACAGAGATGAATAATCAAACATCAAATCATATTGTGTTATAAGGTAACGATGATATCCATGCTTCACTGACAATGTTATACTCAATGAAAGGGAGATAATACAAAGAATGAGTTATCTCCCCTTACTCAACAAACCCTACAGCATTATATACATATATACTTGAAATAATATTTAGCTGCAGTGGCCAAGTCTCCAACTGTGATCCAGTGATCTAGTTTCCTTGGATCCTTGTGGATCTCTCCTAATGCACAGACCTCCAACATCACTAACATTTGGTGGAGGCAAGAACCCTTGACATTAATGTTACCTTGGCTGTTTGCCCACCAGTTTGAAGACAAGGTCGTACATGTACGCTGGTACCATGTGACTCACGAACATCCAGTAGTCATGGAGGAAGCTGGAAAAAGACGAGTCAGGTACGAATGTAAAAAACCATGTATGTGTACCCAGTCAATAAACAGGGGTCATGCATGTATATCCAGTCAATAAACGAAGGTCATGCATGTATATCCAGTCAATAAACGGAGGTCATGCATGTATATCCAGTCAATAAACGAGGGTCATGCATGTATATCCAGTCAATAAACAGAGGTCATGCATGTATATCCAGTCAATAAACAGAGGTCATGCATGTATATCCAGTCAATAAACAGAGGTCATGCATGCATATCCAGTCAATAAACGGAGGTCATGCATGTATATCCAGTCAATAAACGGAGGTCATGCATGTATATCCAGTCAATAAACGGAGGTCATGCATGTATATCCAGTCAATAAACAGGTCATGCATGTATATCCAGTCAATAAACGGAGGTCATGCATGTATATCCAGGCAAATAAAAAGAGGTCATGCATGTATATCCAGTCAATAAACAGAGGTCATGCATGTATAACCAGTCAACAAACAGAGTTCATGCATGTATATCCGGTCAACAAACAGAGTTCATGCATGTATATCCGGTCAATAAACAGAGGTCATGCATGTATATCCATTCAATAGAAAGAGCCTAGTTGGGTAACATGATTAGCAACAGAGTTGATTTTGACACAAAAAGCTGTATATAGGTCAATGACTTAGACCAAAGACATGTAATAAATCACTGGCAAAAGTCAATAAGCCAAATAAACAAAACACAAAATTGCTTATGCCAGGTTCTCACAAGTCAACAATAATGGTGGACGAACCCTGACTTCAAATCAATGCAATACTGTTCATGATGAGACGCATGTATATGATCTGGGCTACGAACGTCACGATAAGAAAAGCACTTGACTAGGTCACTATAGCTCGTTTCCTCCTGATACAGAAAGTAGGATGCAAAGACATGCCTTGCCCAGAAGTTCAATAACCATTGTTCATGGCTGTGCTTTGTTTTATTAAATTGATACTGTAAGTAGGACTAATACTTACTGTTTACTTTTTAATTATGAAACGTGTGACGCCTTGCTTAGCATTTCTATTACATAAACAAATCATCTGTCAAATATAAATTTTATCGGTCTATGACGGTTGACTGACGGCAATCTGAAACTCTCCTCCAATGAGCAGCACCCACCTGTTATTTGTTAATGCTACGTTGGGCCGCCTGAAGCAGTCGTCTAGTGGGGTGCGCTTGTAGAAGTTTATTACAACAGACTCTGAAACACATCATGTACATCTGTGTAGTCCTGGCTTAGAGAGAAGAAAACATGATGATTAATCTTGCATTTCTTAAAATGTCTTCAATACTATTATTATCAAGTATATGGTCTGAATAATATTCATCAAAGTATATAAACGATGTACATGTCTCTTATCACTACCAAAGACTAATCCAGGTTGAAAGGTACACCATGTTAACCAACCCATTTCCCCCAGGTAAAAGGTTGACTGATTCAGTGGAACACCGTGTTAACCAACCCATTTCCCCCCAGGTGAAGGGGTTGACTGATCCAGTAGTACAATATGGTAACCTACCCATCTCCCTCCATGTGAAGGGGTTGACTGATCCAGTGGTACACCATGTTAACCTACCCATCTCCCCCAAGTGGAGGGTTGACTGATTCAGTGGAACACCATGTTAACCAACCCATTTCCCCCAGGTAAAGGGTTGACTGATTCAGTAGAACACCATGTTCCCCCCAGGTGAAGGGTTGACTGATTCAGTGGAAAACCATGTTAACCAACAACCAATTTCCCCCCAGGTGAAGGGTTAACTGATCCAGTAGTACACCATGGTAACCTACCCATCTCCCCCCATATGAAGGGGTTGACTGATCCAGTAGTACAACATGGTAACCTACCCATCTCCCCCCAGGTGAAGGGGTTGACTGATCCAGTGGTACACCATGTTAACCTACCCATCTCCCCCCAGGTGAAGGGGTTGACTGATCCAGTGGTACACCATGTTAACCTACCCATCTCCCCCCAGGTGAAGGGGTTGACTGATCCAGTGGAACACCATGTTAACCAACCCATTTCCCCCCCCAGGAGAAGGGTCGACTGATTCAGTGGTACACCATGTTAACCAACCCATTTCCCCCCAGGTGAAGGGTTGACTGATTCAGTGGTACACCATGTTAACCAACCCATTTCCCCCCAGGAGAAGGGTCGACTGATTCAGTGGTACACCATGTTAACCTACCCATCTCCCCCCATGTGAAGGGGTTGACTGATCCAGTTCACCATGTTAACCTACCCATCTCCCCCCAGTGGAGGGTTGACTGATTCAGTGGAACACCATGTTAACCAACAACCCACTTCCCCCCAGGTGAAGGGTTAACTGATCCAGTAGTACATCATGGTAACCTACCCATCTCCCCCCATATGAAGGGGTTGACTGATCCAGTAGTACAACATGGTAACCTACCCATCTCCCCCCAGGTGAAGGGGTTGACTGATCCGGTGGTACAGTGGTACACCATGGTCTGCTTGGGTTGGTACACTGCGGTGTACCAGGCGGAGGTGATCATCAAGTTGACGGGGATGTCCACGGGGATGATGTCTGCAACTGCGCTGTGATCGCCCTTCATTGATCGCAAGATTCCTTTTCCCGCCTGGGAGAACACAACACTCAATATTGACACCAACGTCCTGGACACTGAATTGCCTTACCAAAAGTTTCCTTATTTATTAGTGTTCAGTTAAAACCCACCATCAAAGAGAAAATAAACTTCAAGTTTTTATTTGCCTGTCTGCAAAATGCAAGAAAATTAATTACAGAGAACATCATATTTAACAGTTATAGTGGAAAATGTTGGCTTGATCACAGATATTTTCATTTCACATCTATATTAGCAGCTTAAATTCACTGTGACTGGCAGATGAGGAGGAGTTATCTCCCTTCATGCACACTCAGCCAATACTCTATTGATACTACACATCAGCTGACCACTGATTCACTTACGGCAATGTAAAGACCACTTGGCCCGTTGTAGTTGTCAATCCAACCCTGCAAGGAAAAAAACGATTCAATATTGCAGAAAACAAAATCTCACAACAGGATCATCAGGGGTTGACGTAGATACAGTTGGGTCGGGTTTAACAAACTATCCAACAGTATTTCAGTTATGTCACCACCAGCTGAATGTGCAGAGTTCCAGATAAGCTGCGTATTTGTATAAAATACTCAAAATATATTACAATTACCCAAACAATTTTGAGTTGCTTGTTCAAAAATATGCATTAATTTTTACAAGTTGCAAACATTGCAAAATTACCCAGTGTATCCTTTTCAACTTACAAACATTTTTTCTTCATAGATCTTTATTAAGTGATCAAGAGCAGGCATTAACAATATCGGTCACTGGATTGTCTGGTCCAGACTCGAGTATTTACAAGCCACAGTGATATAGCTTGAATACTGCTGTATTAAAACTGTACGGGTGTACTGCTGCCCCAACTATTAGGTTGCACTTACTGGCAGAGGTCCCTTCCAGGCTGCCCCAACTATTAGGTTGCACTTACCAGCAGAGGTCCCTTCCAGGCTGCCCCAACTATTAGGTTGCACTTACTGGCAGAGGTCCCTTCCAGGCTGCCCCAACTATTAGGTTGCACTTACCAGCAGAGGTCCCTTCCAGGCTGCCCCAAGTATAAGGTTGCACTTACCAGCAGAGGTCCCTTCCAGGCTGCCCCAACTATTAGGTTGCACTTACCAGCAGAGGTCCCTTCCAGGCTGCCCCAAGTATTAGGTTGCACTTACCGGCAGAGGCTCCTTCCAGGCTGCCCCAACTATTGATGGTCGTACGATGGCTATTGGCAGCCCGGCACCCTCCGTCACCAGCAACGTCTCCCCCAGCTGTTTCGTGTAGGTGTACGTGTTCGGCTTGTTGCCTAGCAACTTGGGGGTTACTATGTCCACCATCTCGTCATCCATCCACCTGAAAGAGTGAGTGAGTGAGTGAGTGAGTGAGAGAGTGAGAGAGTGAGTGAGTGAGTGAGTGAGTGAGTGAGTGAGTGAGTGAGTGAGTGAGTGAGCGAGCAAGCCTTTTGTTTATTGTTTAACATCACACTTAGCAATATTCCAGCTTTATGATGGTGTCCCTTAAATAATTGAGTCTGGACCAGACAATCCAGTGAGTGAGTGAGTGAGTGAGTGAGTGAGTGAGTGAGTGAGCGAGCAAGCCTTTTGTTTATTGTTTAACATCACACTTAGCAATATTCCAGCTTTATGATGGTGTCCCTTAAATAATTGAGTCTGGACCAGACAATCCAGTGAGTGAGTGAGTGAGTGAGTGAGTGAGAGAGTGAGAGAGTGAGAGAGTGAGTGAGTGAGTGAGTGAGTGAGTGAGTGAGTGAGTGAGTGAGTGAGTGAGTGAGTGAGCGAGCCTTTTGTTTATTGTTTAACATCACACTTAGCAATATTCCAGCTATATGATGGTGTCCCTTAAATAATTGAGTCTGGACCAGACAATCCAGTGAGTGACTGAGTGAGTGAGGAACATACGTTTGATACTACTTTGAAAAGTTTTTCATATTTACATGGTTTCAAGCGATAGTTTTGTAGCCTGTTTGTTGGTGCAATCACAACCACAGTGGTGCTGACAGACCATGGATCACAATCAGGGCTTCGAACCCATGACCAGCGGATTCTGAACGCTAAGGGGCACAACTCTGTAAAATAACTGGGTCAATCATTCGATAAGATGAGAAGTGAGTGTGCTTACTCTAGAGCATCAATAAGTTTCTGTGGCTGGACGAGGGTTGGGTAGACGGTCTCCTCGATGTAGGGTCGATCACAGTTGGCGTAGGCAGTGGACACATGGACGAACACCTGCAACAATAGGTACATAGGTACACTGACCCACCATGTCCACACTCATGGAATTCTCTGTACACTCTCTCGTCTCTTTATTCCCTTCCTTTCTCTTCCTTTCTCCTGTGTATTCTTTTTCCCTCATGTGTTTATTCTCTTTCCCTAATGTGTTTATTCTTTCTCCCTCTTTCTTTCTCTCACTATCTTTCTTTTTCCTTTTTATTCCCTCCGTCTCTCTTATCTGTTTATCAGTTTTTCTCTTTCTCTCATCTGTTCATTCTCTCTCCCTCCCTTTCTCATCTGTTTATTCTCTTTCTCTCATCTGTTATAGTCTCTCCCTCTCATGTGTTTATCCTCCCCCCTCTCCCTCATCTGTTTATCCTCCCCCTCATCTGTTTATCCTCTCCACCCCTCTCTCATCTGTGTTTACCTCCCCCTCAAGTCCCCTGATAGTGGTTGTGACAGACCCCTCCTCCCCCTCATGTCCCCTGATAGTGGTTGTGACAGACCCCTCCTCCCTCTGAAGTCCCCTGATAGTGGTTGTGACAGACCCCTCCCCCCTCTGCAGTCCCCTGATAGTGGTTGTGACAGACCCCTCCTCCCTCTGCAGTCCCCTGATAGTGGTTGTGACAGACCCCTCCTCCCTCTGAAGTCCCCTGATAGTGGTTGTGACAGACCCCTCCTCCCTCTGAAGTCCCCTGATAGTGGTTGTGACAGACTCCTCCTCCCCCTCAAGTTCCCTGATAGTGGTTGTGACAGACCCCTCCTCCCCCTCAAGTCCCCTGACAGTGGTTGTGACAGACTCCTCCTCCCCCTCAAGTTCCCTGATAGTGGTTGTGACAGACCCCTCCTCCCCCTCAAGTCCCCTGACAGTGGTTGTGACAGACTCCTCCTCCCCCTCATGTCCCCTGATAGTGGTTGTGACAGACCCCTCCTCCCCCTCATGTCCCCTGATAGTGGTTGTGACAGACCCCTCCTCCCTCTGCAGTCCCCTGATAGTGGTTGTGACAGACCCCTCCCCCCTCTGCAGTCCCCTGATAGTGGTTGTGACAGACCCCTCCTCCCCCTCATGTCCCCTGATAGTGGTTGTGACAGACCCCTCCCCCCTCTGCAGTCCCCTTATAGTGGTTGTGACAGACCCCTCCTCCCCCTCATGTCCCCTGATAGTGGTTGTGACAGACCCCTCCTCCCTCTGAAGTCCCCTGATAGTGGTTGTGACAGACCCCTCCTCCCCCTCAAGTCCCCTGATAGTGGTTGTGACAGACCCCTCCTCCCCCTCAAGTCCCCTGATAGTGGTTGTGACAGACCCCTCCTCCCCCTCAAGTCCCCTGACAGTGGTTGTGACAGACCCCTCCTCCCCCTCAAGTCCCCTGACAGTGGTTGTGACAGACCCCTCCTCCCCCTCAAGTCCCCTGATAGTGGTTGTGACAGACCCCTCCTCCCCCTCAAGTCCCCTGATAGTGGTTGTGACAGACCCCTCCTCCCCCTCAAGTCCCCTGACAGTGGTTGTGACAGACCCCTCCTCCCTCTGAAGTCCCCTGATAGTGGTTGTGACAGACCCCTCCCCCCTCTGCAGTCCCCTGATAGTGGTTGTGACAGACCCCTCCTCCCCCTCAAGTCCCCTGATAGTGGTTGTGACAGACCCCTCCTCCCCCTCAAGTCCCCTGATAGTGGTTGTGACAGACCCCTCCTCCCTCTGAAGTCCCCTGATAGTGGTTGTGACAGACCCCTCCTCCCCCTCAAGTCCCCTGATAGTGGTTGTGACAGACCCCTCCTCCCCCTCAAGTCCCCTGATAGTGGTTGTGACAGACCCCTCCTCCCCCTCAAGTCCCCTGATAGTGGTTGTGACAGACCCCTCCTCCCCCTCAAGTCCCCTGACAGTGGTGGTGACAGACCCCTCCTCCCCCTCAAGTCCCCTGATAGTGGTTGTGACAGACCCCTCCTCCCCCTCAAGTCCCCTGACAGTGGTTGTGACAGACCCCTCCCCCCTCTGAAGTCCCCTGATAGTGGTTGTGACAGACCCCTCCTCCCCCTCAAGTCCCCTGACAGTGGTTGTGACAGACCCCTCCCCCCTCTGAAGTCCCCTGATAGTGGTTGTGACAGACCCCTCCTCCCCTTCAAGTACCCTGACAGTGGTTGTGACAGACCCCTCCTCCCCCTCAAGTCCCCTGACAGTGGTGGTGACAGACCCCTCCTCCCCCTCAAGTACCTGATAGTGGTTGTGACACACCCCTCCTCCCCCTCAAGTCCCCTGATAGTGGTTGTGACAGACCCCTCCTCCCTCTGAAGTCCCCTGATAGTGGTTGTGACAGACCCCTCCTCCCCCTCAAGTACCCTGATAGTGGTTGTGACAGACCCCTCCTCCCCCTCAAGTCCCCTGATAGTGGTTGTGACAGACTCCTCCCCCTCAAGTCCCATGATAGTGGTTGTGACACACCCCTCCTCCCCCTCAAGTCCCCTGATAGTGGTTGTGACAGACCCCTCCCCCCTCTGCAGTCCCCTGATAGTGGTTGTGACAGACCCCTCCTCCCTCTGAAGTCCCCTGATAGTGGTTGTGACAGACCCCTCCTCCCCCTCAAGTACCCTGATAGTGGTTGTGACAGACCCCTCCTCCCCTTCAAGTCCCCTGATAGTGGTTGTGACAGACCCCTCCTCCCTCAAGTCCCCTGATAGTGGTTGTGACAGACCCCTCCTCCCTCAAGTCCCCTGATAGTGGTTGTGACAGACCCCTCCTCCCTCTGCAGTCCCCTGATAGTGGTTGTGACAGACTCCTCCCCCTCAAGTCCCCTGATAGTGGTTGTGACAGACCCCTCCTCCCCCTCAAGTCCCCTGACAGTGGTTGTGACAGACCCCTCCTCACTCACCTGAAGATGTTTCAGTTTCTTGGCTAGTTCAATCATCTTCCTCACCCCAACCACGTTCATCTCTGTGGATAACCTGAGGAAAACAAAGGTGGAATCACAACCTCAAACAATCTCAAAACATCATCAACATAACGCCTAGGAAATTGGTCAGCATAAAAGTTTTACAAAAAAATCAGGGATTATGAAAAGAACATCTTCATGAATCATTGTTTTGTAGTGCTGAGACAATTCCATTATCATCATCATCATCATCATCATCACCATCATCATCGCATTCATCATCATCATCATCACCATCATCATCGCATTCATCATCATTGCATTCAACATCATCATCATCACCATCACCACCATCTTCATCATCACCATCATCATAATCATCACCACCATCTTCATCATCACCATCATCATAATCATCACCATCACCACCATCTTCATCATCATCACTATCATCATCACCATCACCACCATCTTCATCATCACCATCATCATAATCATCACCACCATCTTCATCATCACCACCATCTTCATCATCACCACCATCATCATCATCATTATCATCATCGCATTAAGTTTATCACCTAAGAGGTTCATCGAATCTGACTGTGGCTGCGCTGTGGAAGATGATGTCGACGCCGTCCACAAGGAGAGCTGTGTCGCTAGGAGAGAGGCCCACATTGGGGAGTGATATGTCACCCTGAACGGGGTGGATCTTCTGGTCGAAGTGGGGCAACAATTTCCGTAGCTTGTCAAACAACTGCAACAGAAAGGATACATAAGTACTACAAAATAGACATTTGTGGAGATATCATGTAAGCAAAGTGTATATTGCCAGTGTCAAACTGCCTGCCTGTGTAAAGTAAATCTAAATTATTATTTTTTTATTTCAGCAGGCCTCATAACAGCCATGGCAAGTATCAAGATGGGCAAGACACACTCGTGAGTCACCTGCCCACCTGGCTTGTCAGGAGTGGATATTATTTCAGACATTATATATAAACATGTTTGTGACAGCCAGCACTTATCATCCCCTATTGTCCATAGTCAAGTAGACTCATATAGGCTTTATCAGATGGCAGAATCTGTCAAAATGACCAATTGAAACAAAACAAATTCCCAATTCAGATTATCATTTATAATACCCAGCACTGTTCCAGTGTTGCCAAGGTGACGTGTATCTTACTGATAACAGGGTGATAGAGCACAAGGCTGAAACACCTTCATCAGAGTGAAGAGAATGCAACGCTTTACAGCTGTGAATTGAAGAGCTGCACAAGGACTGTACAAATGATGTTTTATTCTCATTTGTTGAACATCCTCAGTAAATCCTTGTGTCTTTATGCAAATGTTCATTATCAATAAAGTCTAGGGTCAGGTCATCTATGACTGGCGTGGGGTGGCGTGGCGTGGCGTGGCGTGGCGTGGCCACGTGGCGTGGCGGTGCGGTGCGGTCTGGGGTGCGGTGCGGTGCGGTCTGGGGTTCTCTACCTTCAGGTCTATACAGGTTCTACTACACCAAATCAGAACCAGTTTGGACAGTGCGGTTTTCGTAGGGAGCCTTCAGTGTAGATCGAGAGATATCTGCAGGCTGTGATTGGAGCATATTCTGTAAGATTTTTATGTCTTTCAAATGTACATCCATCCAGTTATTAAAACTGACCATGTTTTTCTATATTTAGTACTGTCTTTTTCAACATGATGACTTATGCTGAATGTGACCACAGCTATTTTCAAGTAGGTGACATTTGGTGCGAAACTGGGGGTGGTGTGTTTAGCTTCCGGTACTCGGAAAAGGAGCTGACTAAGCTAGTCATTTTAATTTTTTTTATTGCTGTTCTAAGGCCAAACTGTGCACACACATACAGGTAATAGCTGTTGAATGCTTAGTTATTTTAAAAAAAATCATAACGTTACTATAGAAGTCTATGGGAAAACATTTGGTTGTGTGTAACCTATAAGACACCTTTAACTTTAGACAAACAGACTTGGGCTGGTGACTAGTGCCAAGGAGCATTCCTTACTTTGGGAGAGTCTCGATAAATTTACATAAATTTTGGAGGAGGCATATTGTTTGGGGGAAGGGGTGAAATGGGGTTTTACGTCGCGTCAAAGATTACTGCACTTGAGTTATGACCGAATTACTGTCAACATTTCTCACTGTGCCAGGGTTCAGATTTCAAGGGGTGAGACTGACCCCTACTCCACCAAGCCAGGGTTCAGATTTCAAGGGGTGAGACTGACCAGTACTCCACCAAGCCAAGGTTCAGATTTCAAGGGGTGAGACTGACCAGTACTCCTACAAGCCAAGGTTCAGATTTCAAGGGGTGAGACTGACCCCTACTCCACCAAGCCAAGGTTCAGATTTCAAGGGGTGAGACTGACCCCTACTCCACCAAGCCAAGGTTCAGATTTCAAGGGGTGAGACTGACCCCTACTCCACCAAGCCAGGGTTCAGATTTCAAGGGGGGAGACTGACCCCTACTCCACCAAGCCAAGGTTCAGATTTCAAGGGGTGAGACTGACCAGTACTCCACCAAGCAAAGGTTCAGATTTCAAGGGGTGAGACTGACCCCTACTCCACCAAGCCAAGGTTCAGATTTCAAGGGGTGAGACTGACCCCTACTCCACCAAGCCAAGGTTCAGATTTCAAGGGGTGAGACTGACCCCTACTCCACCAAGCCAAGGTTCAGATTTCAAGGGGTGAGACTGACCCCTACTCCACCAACCAAGGGGTCCATCACATGAACAATATTGGGGCCTGCAAATAATCTTATTTCTTGTCTTAGGCAAAAAGTTCACTGCATCACTTACTAATAATCCTAGAAATGGCAAGATCGTACGTAACATAGGTATTCCTTTCCATGTACTTTGATGACAGTTTTACAAGGAAACATTTTTCAATAAAAAAAATCATTTCTTAACCTGATATCAGTACCTATTTATACTGCTAAAGTCTTAACCCAAAAATATGTAATAAAATAATGATCAATTAATAAATATGGCAATAAAAATCATCACTTAATTATCTGAATTAACAAACAGAAAGCAGTTTGTTTTGCTCAAGTACTAATTATTCCAAATCCCCACATCTCCCAGCATGCATCATGATAACCTACACAAAGCCTCATCAGTATTCATCGGACATTTCCCTGGGGTTTATAACAGGCTGTATCACCCCGCCACATCACTGGCATACTAACTAGCTGCAATTACATGTTAACAGAATACAAATGACTGGCCAGCAGAGGCCAGCAATGAATCATGGGTAATCAATATGTCTGCCAGTGCCTACACAGGCATGGAATCTGACCTGACACATGCAAATATATGTTAATACAGGCAGTTGGAAGCACATGGCAAATTGGTGTGGGACCTTTCACCCCTGTTTGGAAAATGGAACACTCCAAAACATGTCAAAGATTGATGACAGTTGAGGAAAGTCAATTTCAGAAATCAGGTTGACAGTTTGGTGAAACTGCAGATTATCAAAATACTTTTTTGAAAAAAAAAAGTGTCCGGTCTTTAGATTTGAAAAGAAAAAGTCAAAGGGGCTCTGTCATAATCCTAATGTTAAAACAAACATCCACACATGTTTTTCGTCATGGTCCCTTGGATGAAATATTATCACAGCGGTTATCAAGGAAAACAGTGTAACGTCCCTCCTCCCCCCCCACCCCCCTTCATTAATTACTAACACTGTCAGTGTATTACAGAAGCACAAAACTATGAAAGAAAATTTGAGTAATCTAAGCAAAGAAATAAAAAATAAAATAATGAATAAAATAGAATTCATACAAGAGCAAGATATACATTTTCATAATCCCCACCCAAGGTGAATTCCTCCATATTTAAGTTGCTTGGTGTTTCACTACAGTGATGTACTATTCACCATGTTCACTGGTGTGGGATATTACCTGAATCACTCAGTGGACACTTGACAATGCCCCGTATTGATTGTATGTGTCCTGCACAATAGACTGCAGGCACAGCTGATCACACAATGGTTAGGAGCTACACATACACAAAGTGGCACCGATAGTCATGTACATACAGTTCCTGGTATAAATATAGAGGCTGTTTACTTGAAGACAGGAATAGTGCTATGGTAAACCACCAGTCTGCGCTGCTGCCAAACTTTGTGTTGCTGTGGTACATATAGGATAGGACTAACAAATCAACTCTGGTTACTTTCTTCCAAAGTTTAACAATCACTGAGGGAATGGGGTTTACACTATATTCAGTAATATTACAGATACATCACACCTAGAGCATGATAGTCAGCAATATCGCAGCTCTATCACCACTATAGTCAGCAATATCGCAGCTCTATCACAACTATTGTCAGCAATATTGCAGCTCTATCACAAATATAGTCAGCAATATTGCAGCTCTATCACAAATATAGTCAGCAATATTGCAGCTCTATCACAAATATAGTCAGCAATATTGCAGCTCTATCACAGCTACAGTCAACAATATTGCAGCTCTATCACAGCTATAGTCAGCAATATTGCAGCTCTATCACAGCTATAGTCAGCAATATTGCAGCTCTATCACAGCTACAGTCAACAATATTGCAGCTCTATCACAGCTATAGTCAGCTATATTTCAGCTCTATCACAGCTATAGTCAGCTATAGTGAGCAATATTGCAGCTCTATCACAACTATTGTCAGCAATATTGCAGCTCTATCACAGCTATATTGCAGCTCTATCACAGCTATAGTCAGCAATATTGCAGCTCTATCACCGCTATAGTCAGCAATATTGCAGCTCTATCACCGCTACAGTCAGCAATATTGCAGCTCTATCACCGCTATAGTCAGCAATATTGCAGCTCTATCACAGCTACAGTCAACAATATTGCAGCTCTATCACAGCTATAGTCAGCTATAGTCAGCAATATTGCAGCTCTATCACAGCTATAGTCAGCAATATTGCAGCTCTATCACAGCTACAGTCAACAATATTGCAGCTCTATCACAGCTATAGTCAGCTATATTTCAGCTCTATCACAGCTATAGTCAGCTATAGTGAGCAATATTGCAGCTCTATCACAGCTATAGTCAGCAATATTGCAGCTCTATCACCGCTATAGTCAGCAATATTGCAGCTCTATCACAGCTATAGTCAGCAATATTGCAGCTCTATCACAGCTACAGTCAACAATATTGCAGCTCTATCACAGCTATAGTCAGCTATATTTCAGCTCTATCACAGCTATAGTCAGCTATAGTGAGCAATATTGCAGCTCTATCACAGCTATAGTCAGCAACATTGCAGCTCTATCACAACTACAGATGTAACATTGACCCAACAGCTGTAAGTATTCAATATTCTTTGTACAATGTTTCAACACAGATGGATTTTCAGACAAAAGTTTGTTTCAATGTATGTTGAATTTGTAGGTCAAAATAGCTACAGCAGTATGTGGGAACATTTCTTATCTAAATGTTAGATATGATTTTCTTGATGGATGTTTCCAGATGTCATAAAAAAACAGGTTGCAAGTGAAACAAAGGGTCAGTTGTGTTATCTGAAACACAAGTATCTATATTTGCCTTCCCTTCTTTCTGTTACCAGCAAGTTATCATAACCCTTCAGTTACAACAGGTAGCCTTCACTGACATAGTCACGTTGCATGGTGATGTAAGCCCTACATGCATTACAGATCCCGGACACCCGAGATAACCCAGTTCCTGCTGCTGCAGGCACACTGATCAGCCCACATTGGCTACCCGCTGTGGACTGAGTGAAG